CAGACAATGGATCTGGTCCATGCCTTGATGTGCGTGTCCTTGGGTGGCCTTTCTCCCCATCTGGGCCTCAGTTTCCTCAACTGGACAGGAGGTAGGGGAGAAGTCCTGACTGACAGAATCGCGCCCCCCCCCGCCCCCATGCTGCAGGGAGCTCCTGAGAGTGTGATCGAACGCTGTAGCTCAGTCCGAGTGGGGAGCCGCACAGTACCCCTGAACGCCACCTCCAGGGAGCAGATCCTAGCCAAGATCCGAGACTGGGGCTCAGGCTCAGACACGCTACGCTGCCTGGCACTGGCCACCCGGGATGCGCCCCCGAGGAAGGAAGACATGCAGCTGGATGACTGCAGCAAGTTCGCACAGTACGAGGTGGGTGCCCGGGCGGGGCCCCAGGGCCGGGAGCACGGGGCAGGCCCCTGCAGCTGCTGGGGAGGCAGCGAGTTGAGGACGGGCTCGAGCCCTGCCTGCATCTGCCCCTCCCTGCAGACCAACCTGACTTTCGTGGGCTGCGTGGGCATGTTGGACCCTCCTCGGCCTGAGGTGGCTGCTTGTATTGTGCGCTGCCGCCGGGCAGGCATCCGTGTGGTCATGATCACGGGGGACAACAAAGGCACGGCCGTGGCTATCTGCCGTCGGCTTGGCATCTTCAAGGACACGGAGGACGTGGCGGGCATGGCCTACACAGGCCGCGAATTCGACGACCTCAGCCCCGAGCAGCAGCGCCATGCCTGCCGCACGGCCCGCTGCTTTGCCCGTGTGGAACCCGCGCACAAGTCCCGCATCGTGGAGAACCTGCAGTCCTTCAACGAGATCACTGCCATGGTGAGGCCACGAGGTGGGAGCCCGGGGGCTGTGGGGAGGTGCCGGGAGCACTTGCCACAGGCTTGGAAGGGCCACCCGTGAGCCCCTGCCTCTGCTTCCCCCTTATGTTTCCAATGCTTTGTTATAAGACGTCTCAAACACAAAGAAAAATTGAAATAACTTATAGTGAGCACCGATATACCCACCATCTAGATTCTACAAATGACAGTTTGTCATGATTGCTCTGTCATATTCCCACCCGTCTGTCTGTGCTGAGTTGTCTTTTCTCAAATGCACTTTGAAGGGGTCGGCATCAGGACACTCCCCCTCTCGCACTTCAGAGTGCAAACTCTACAGAGCAGTGTTTGCAGGTCTGTTTTTCTCCTTTTTGAGGTAAAACTTACATGCAGTGAAGAGCACACATTTTTAGCATGCCATTCATTTGAAGACTTCTGTCCAGTGACATCCCTGCATCACTCAAACCCTTATCAGGGTCGGGAGCAGTCTGGTCAGCCACGAGTCTCCCTCACGCTCCTGCCCCTCAGGCCCTCTCCACAAGGTAGCCGCTGTTCTGATTTTCTCCGCCGGGCGTAGTTTGCCTGTCCTAGATTGTCAGTGAATGGAATCATACAGAACACTCTTTGGTGCCTGGTTTCTGTATGAGAGTTTCCCGTGCTGCTGCAGGTAGCAGTGGGTGACGGCTGTTTGACGGTTGGGCAGTGCGCCTTTGCGTGAGTACACCACGGTGCGTTCGGTCACCTGGGGGTGGATGAACATTCGGGTTGGGCCATTTTTGTTCTGTCTCATTCCTTTTTTTTTTTCAGTTTTTAAATTTTTTATTATTTTTATTTTTTTAATTATTTTTTTGTTTTTCATTTACATCTCATTCTTAATTGCTGACCTATTCGTCAACACTGATCTCATTTTTGACATAGACCTCACCCCTGACCTGGCCTCTATTACTAGTTTTGACTTTTAGTCTAACCTAGTCCTTTACTTTGTTTTTTTTTTTAAGATTCTATTTTTAGACAGAGGGGAAGGGAGGGAAGTAAGAGGAGAGAAACATCAACATGTGGTTGCCTCTCATACACCCCCTACTGGGAACCTGGCCCACAACCCATGAATGTGTCCTGATTGGGAACCGAACCAGTGACCCTTTGGTTTACAGACCAGCACTCAATCCACTGAGCCACACCAGCCACGGCTACCTGCACTTTAATCCTGACCTCTGGCTCAGTCTGAAAGTGGATAATGAATTGGGCACCAACCTTGACACCTTGTTCTTGATCTTATGTTTGACCTTCTCAAAGAAGGTTCTTGACCTTGACCTTGATCATCTTGATAATGATTCTTTACTTTTAGCTCAATCTTGATATGGATTTTAGTTTTAATTTGGACCCTTACCTGATCCTTGACATTGGTCTTTATTCCCCCAACCTAACACTGTATGTTGACCTCAACTTTGATCTGGCTTCTAACCTTGGCCTGGACTGCACTCCAACTTTGCCCATGACATCACTCCTTATGTTGACTAGAGCCTTGATTTGGCCTCTGACTTTGACTTGACATCTACCTTAATCTAATTTTTAGTCTTGAGCCTGAGTCTAGTCTTTTTTTAAAAGATTTTATTTATCTATTTTTTGGAAAGAGGGGAAGGGAGGGAGAAAGAGAGGGAGAGAAACATCAATATGTGGTTGCCTCTCGCATGCCCCCTACTGGGGACCTGGCCCTCAACCTGCATGTGCCCTGATGGGGAAATCGAACTGGCAACTCTTTGGTTTGCAGGCCAGTACTCAGTCCACAAAGCCACACCAGCCAGGGTCCCCAGTCTAGTCTTGACCCTGACCTTCACCTGGGCTCCACTTTTGTCTTGAGTTCAATACTTACCTAGTCCTTAACCTAGGCCACAACCTTGACCTCATTCCTGACTTGACCTTAACTTTGTCCTTTACATCAATTTTATGTTAACTCTACATCCAAACTAAATTCCATCCCCACCCTCATTGTTCACCCTCCCTCATGCCCATTTTCACCTCTTCATCTTCTCTGCTCCCCAACTTTGTCCTTGCCTACACCTTTGCCTTCCCTTTAGCCTCATCCCCAGCCCAGTTTCTATGCTCTTGACCTCGCTATTTATTCTGTCCAGCTGTCTGCTTCCTTTGGCATGTCCCCAAGCTTGGAGATAGGCTGGGTTGAGGGGCACTGAGGAGGTAGAAGGGAGCTTTCTCAGGTGTGAACCCACCTAACTTGGCCTGCAGACTGGAGATGGGGTGAATGATGCCCCAGCCCTAAAGAAAGCCGAGATTGGTATCGCCATGGGCTCAGGCACAGCTGTGGCCAAGTCGGCGGCGGAGATGGTACTGTCGGATGACAACTTCGCCTCCATTGTGGCTGCGGTGGAAGAAGGCCGGGCCATCTACAGCAACATGAAGCAATTCATCCGCTACCTCATCTCCTCGAATGTCGGCGAGGTCGTCTGGTGAGGCCCTGTGTCCCTCCGCACACAGCCCTCTGGACCAGCTCCGCATCTCTGAGAGCAGGGAAATGCCTGTTCCTGGGGTGGGGCCGTGGGAGGAAGGGACATGTGACTTGGCCCGGCTGGGGCCTTCCAGAGCCCCACCTCAGGTGGGCCAGGACAGGTGTGCCTTGTCTTTCTCGAGGGCCCAATGAACCTCAGTCCCTAAGGAGACTCCTGAAAAGCCCCCCGCCTTTGGGTGGGTAGTATGTGTGCATGTGTGTCCGTGCAGTGTGCACACAGTATACATGCACATGCTGTATGTACCTGAGTGAGAAGTGTGTGTGGGTGTGTGTGTCTTCTGTTGCATCCTTGAGCTCGAGCACAAGCACAGAGGATTTGTGCAGGTGTGTAATTTTATACACACTTAGGTTCGAATGTGAGAGACGGCTGTGGGGGGTGGTAAGCATGTGTTTGCCTGGACACATGTGAATTCTGCATCTCTGCATGTTGGGGCAAGTGTACAGGTGCTGGCCTATGTTTGTGGAATTGCGTGGCCTGTGCAAGGTTTTTGCTCATGTCTGTGGACAAGTATGTATGTGCTTGGGCATGCACCGCCCACATCTGTATGCCCTAGAGAGGGCTGCATCCTACACAGGAGAGGCCTACAGAGCAGGTGTGTCCAGGCTCCAGAGCTGGGGCTGGGGAGGCAGGGGTGGCCCGGTGTGAGGCAGAGCCGTGCACACAGCCCTCCCACTCATGCACACACATTGGAACTAGCAGACTGAGGCAGAGCTGCCGAGCAGAGCAGGAGCTGGACACTCTAACTGCGGGGACTGGAGCCTATGACTCTGGTTCCAGCATCTTCCTCACGGCAATTCTGGGCCTGCCCGAAGCCCTGATCCCTGTGCAGCTGCTTTGGGTCAACCTGGTGACAGATGGCCTGCCTGCCACAGCCCTGGGCTTCAACCCACCGGACCTGGACATCATGGAGAAGTTACCCCGCAACCCTCGTGAGGCCCTCATCAGTGGTTGGCTCTTCTTTCGCTATCTGGCTATTGGAGGTAAGCTGAGAGTGGACAGGGTGGCTGGGCAGCCCTCAGTGGAGTTTCCTGAGACCCTGTATCAGTTAGGCTTGCAAACTGCAGAGAGTATGACTCAGTCTGGCTTATGCCAAAAGAAATGGTATGGGCTTATCAACTGAGAAGACTAGAGCATGTCTCAGGCATGGCTAGATCTGGGCCTCAGACAGCAGCACTGGCACATTTTGGCTCTGCCTCAGCTCCATGCTCAGGCAGATGCCTCCTGTGGTGGCAGAATGGCTGTTGCAGCTCCAGCCCTCCCGCTTACTCCATTACAACCCCAAATTCAGCAGAAGAAAGGGCCTATTATCATACCACTCCCTCATCATGTGATGAAAGTGGCAGGCCTGTTCTCATTGGCCTAGATTGGGTTACCTGCTTATCTCTTAGCCAGTCAATATGGCCAGGGTGTGATATGCTGATTGCCAGTCAGGGCCCACCCCGGGCACATACGGCCTAGAGAGGAAGAGGGCGGTTTCCCAACAGAAACTCAGGGAACTGTTAGGCAGGGGAAGTGGATGCCAGAGAACCACAGCCGCCTGTTTAGCTGGTTTCCTCCTGCCCTCCCTGCAGTGTACGTGGGCCTGGCCACGGTGGCTGCTGCCACCTGGTGGTTCCTGTATGATGCCGAGGGACCACGCATCACCTTCTACCAGCTGGTGAGCATGGACTGGTCAAGGAGCTTGGTGGGGTTGTTGCTGACGTAGAACTCAGCCGACTTGGAATGTCAGGGGAGAGGGTCCAGAGCCCCATGGTCGGCCCACGGCTGTCCCTCCCCACCCCCGTTCACACCCACAGATACTCACCACCTGAGGAGCCAAGCTCAGAAGCCACGGGACACCCAGAGAGAGCCGCCCAGCCCCCAAGTCAGACAAGGGGCTGCACCCTCTCCCAGTCGTTTAGTTAGAGGGGACCAAGGAGCATAACTGCCCACAAGTGTTTTACCTTTATCAAGGAACCCTCAAAACACTGCACCCTTAAATGCTGGAACTTTAGGCAGAGGGTCAAATGGAGGAAGCCAGATATCTGCCAGCTTCCTCCAGCCACCGTGACCAGCGTGTTTCTCAGGGAAGGGACCCACTGACCTCTTGAAGTCACCTGGCTGACCGGTGCCCTCCACAGGCTGTCTTAGCGCAGCACAGCTCTGGAAGCAGGGAGACCCCTCAGCCACGGTCTGTCCATCTGTCCCTCTACCTGAGCAGCTGGTGTATCTTCTTGGCTTACAAGAGCCTTCCTGGCAGTTCCGGCAAAGCCAAGAGTGGGTTTTTCTCTTTTAAAGCCAGGAGCTGGAGGAATGCAGGGTGTCCTTCTGAGAGCACCTGCTGTTGCCACTTTCTCACAGACAGGAGAACCCGAGAGAAGGGCCCCGATTCCCTGCCCGGAGTGTGAGGGGACTGCCCGAGGGCAGAGCGAGGCTGGGTTGCCATCCCTGGCTGCCTCCCGAGGGGCCTGTGGGCTCGGGGCTCTGCAGGACTCATCTTTGGGTTCAAGCCACCTGGGGATGCTTTGCTGGCCCTCACCAGCCCTCAAGCACATGGGACTCTGCCTCCTGGCAGCAGTGGAGAGCATGGGCCCAGCTGTCACCCCGGAGGCTGGTGTCCTCAGCGCCCGGCAGCTGTACAGGCCAGCCTCAGGCACCTCTGCTAATCTCGCACCAGTGGGAGTAGCGACAGGAGACGGGGCTCTGCTGACCATCCCAAGCCGCCTCCTCCCAGCCCCGTCTGTATTCCTTGCCCTTCATCCTGCAGACCCGGACTCTCCGAGCACCTACCCTACCACCCGCCTTCTGACCCCAGCCCATGTGTCTAGTCGCTCTCCTCTGGGACACCCCACAGATCCTGCCCTCACCAAATCTAGTCGGCCACCTTTTCCCCAGATAATCTCTCTCCTCCACCCCATCCCAGGTTCACTGCCTGCCCATCACCCAAGCCAGACACCTAGGCGTCACGCCAGGCACACACCACCAATCCGTCCCCAGTCCCCTTGGTGCCAGCAGTCCCCAACAGTTCTCAGGTCTCTCATCCGCTCGGTCAGACAATGGCTGTTGGGCACAGATGGCGTGCCAAGCACTGATTACTGGGGCCATGGCCACCACCGAGCAGGTGGGGTCTCCTCGAAGGGCTGCGGTCCAGTGGGGGGGGGGCATGCACGTGGGCAGTCACGTTTCAAGGTGAGGCGGGCATCAGCAGGGAAAGGTCAAAGGTTAGACCTAGGAAATAACTTTCTACTCTAGTTACTGGCACTTTGGGAGAAGAGCCCAGAGCCCCATGGTTCCTGGAATAAGCTGCCAAAAGATGGCAGAGCAGAGCCCGGGCTCACACACTAGTTCTCCACTGACTGGCTGTGTGACTTTGGACAGGCTATTTAACCGCTGCGTGAGTTCCTCCTCTGTAAAACAGGTACTAGTCCCTGCGTCATAGAGCTGTCGGGAGGATGTACTGAGGAGGTACTTGTAAAGTGTGTACGTAGACCAGTACAGCAGAGAGCAAGAGCAATGGGGCTGTCGATTAAGTTCACGCACCCGGAGGGGCCTCGGAGGATGAGGTACATGGGAGGCAGCCGGGGAGGCAAAGGGAAAGAGGCGGCAAAGCAGCGGCTTCACCCAAAGAAACAGGCCCCACTCCCACAGGGGCTCCCAGTGACCCCCTGAGACAGGCTTCCAGCCCTGGGCACCTTCTAATAAACAGTTCGGGAGGCCTCACTGTGACCCATGACCTGGGTATGACACGTGTGTGGCAGGTGCTCACAGGTGCAGCCCAGAAGATCTGACCCAGACAGGGTATTTATGGAGGAGCAACAGATCTTTTGCAACACCTAGATGTCACCCGGCTCAAATCCCTTTCCTGTGCACACGCCTAAGCGGGAGGTGTGCTCCAGGGGGGGTGTGCGTGTGGGCACAGCCCCTCCAGTCCAGGAGGTGGGGCCCAGCTGGCTGAAACAATGGGTCCCCTTGGCCGCTGCGTGGGTTCGAAGTTTATGATTAGCACTAAATAAAAACACGCTCTTGTCCCACATCCTGGAGCCAACTTTTTTGAGGAAGCCCCACTGTTGGTTTAAGTAAGTCTCTGCATCTTTTTGTTAAAATAAATCCAACCGAGCCATAGTCTTTTATAATCTCTTACCCGGTATGACAGAGAAGAGGAGAGAGCCAGCCGCCCTCTGTGGCCGACGGCGTCACCCTGTCCGCAGTTCGGCAGTGTGGGAGAATGGAGGTCAGACAGCCAGTCATTCTACGGGTTTCTCTTTGAGGGTCAGTTTCACAGCACGTGGCCCCAGTTTCTAAACCCTTAGCTTGAAAGATCTCCAGTTCAGATGAGACTGCAGGGGAGAAATTAGGTTATGGGACGGCGGCGCTGTGTGTCTGTCAGGCCTGTTCACGCTGGTCCCGTGATGCGGCAGAGAACTGGCCACATTCCCACGCGGGGCCTCAGCCCAGCGTCTTACCACAGCGGGTTCTGTGAGCGAGGTTTAAGGGCGGGAAGAAAACTCCCCCGGGGCTGCAGGGCGAGAGCCACTTCCCTACTGACGACCCTGAGAACTCACTGCTGATTGTGAGGAAGCTGTACAGCAAGACCCTGCCTGGCAATTCATGAGTTCCTGTCAGAAGGGAAAGGCAGGCTGAGCAGAGCCCCGTTTCGGGGTACGAGCGGAGGGAGGTGTGAACGGAGTCGAGTTCAATAGCGCCGAGTAGGCCACGCGCAGCCCTCCTCTACTGCCCACCAAAGGCGAATTCTACTCAAGCGTAATTTTACTGATTGGTTTTCACGTTTCCTTATTCAGTGTTCTCAGTTAACCACCCCTCCCCCCGCCCACTCCTGCGTCTCCCATACTCAGGGGCCCTGTGCACTTTCAGGGTAAAGCCTGGACCTTCCCCCTGACCCCAGAGCCCCCTGCCCACCTCCCCAGCCTAATGCCAGCTGCTCTCTCTCTCCCGCTGTACCCCTGCTCCAGAGCGGTCTGCCCTTGTCCCTGGCACAGTGCTGGCCATCTTCCCCCATCCTGGGTGAGCACCCTTCCCTCCACCCACCCCAGGCAGCACTCTGCTCACTGGTTGTGTTGAGTCCTCAGCTGTGGGCCAAGGGTGGACTGAGGCTTCCTTCTCCCCACACACCAGCACCCCCCCGACCGACTGCTGTTCTCCTTGACCCCACCTGACCCCACCTGACCCCACCACCCTACCCACAGAGGAACTTCCTGAAGTGCTCTGAGGACAACCCACTCTTTGCTGGCATTGACTGTGAGGTTTTCGAGTCGCGCTTTCCCACGACCATGGCCTTGTCTGTGCTGGTGACCATTGAAATGTGCAACGCCCTCAACAGGTAAGCTGGGCAGAGGGGCCTGAGCTGGGGGTGAGGGCGTGGGGGCCGAGGCTTAAGAGTAGGGGCCGTGGGTCAGGTGGAGCCCAGAATTGGGGTCAGAGGTGTCCAGTATCGCAGTGTGAGAGCTAGGGGGTCACGGATTGGGGTCTGAGGGTCAGGGGGGTCACAGATTGGGGTCTGAGGGTCAGGGGCGCCCAGGATTGGGGTGAGAGGGGTCTGGAAGAGAGTTCTAAGAGTCATGGGGGTCAGAATTGGGGTCCAGGGGACAAAGGAGACCAAGCTTTGGGTCTGAAGAAGTAGAGAGGCCAGGATTGGATTTGAGGGACAGACAAAGGGGGTCCGGCCCCTGGAGGCTGAGCGGGCAGCAGTGACACACCCCTCTAGCTACACTGACCTCTCAGAAGTGCTCCTGTCCTCAGGCCCAATTAGGGACATGCTGAGGTTCTGCACTCCCATGTAGGGGGCAGATGGGCGCCCACAGCAGGGCTGCCTGCATCCTGGCCCAAGGTGAGCGCCCTGTGCCCTTGGCAGCGTCTCAGAGAACCAGTCGCTGCTGCGGATGCCGCCCTGGCTGAACCCTTGGCTGCTGGCAGCTGTGACCATGTCCATGGCCCTGCACTTCCTCATCTTGCTCGTGCCGCCCCTGCCCGTGAGTCGGGGCCCCACCCTACTCCCCTTCCCCAGCTCCTGGGGGGACTCTCTGCCTGTGCTCTGACTCCGGCCGGCCACCGCTGTCCCTGTGTGTCCCCACTTCGGGAGCCCCCAGACTCCCAAGGCCAGGGCAGGAGGAAAGACCAGGCGCTCTCTGGGCACAGAGTTTCTCCCACTTCCCAACAGGACCAATGGGATTTGACCCTATGATGGGTGAGGGCTGGGGGATGGGGGTCATGCTTCAGGTGAGCAAAGATCTAGAGGTGAGACCTCAACGGGCATCTTGGACGTACCCATGTAGAGTCCGCTGTGGCCTGGGTGGGTGAGGCAGGTGGACTGTGGGGCACTGGGCAGTCTTTCCTTTAACCAAACCTCCCCCCGCAGCTCATTTTCCAGGTGACCCCACTGAGTGGGCGCCAGTGGGTGGTGGTACTCCAGATATCCCTGCCGGTCATCCTGCTTGATGAGGCCCTCAAGTTCCTGTCCCGGAACCACATGGGTGGTGAGTGGGAGGCCCGCCCCTCCCGTCCTGCCGTCCTCTACAGCCAGGCTGGTGCCAGCATCGGCCTGCCCTCTGTATGTGGGGGTGCTCTTGGGTCCTCACTGGAGGACACGAAGGGGCTCTGATGGCTGTGACCCGAGGTGTCTGTGAGGGTTTGGGCCCTGGGCCCACTGGTCACTTGCTCAGGGCCACGCTACCTCACTCTCCTCACTGCCACCAACCTTGTAGGGCCAGGCTCGCTGTGCCCTCCCCTGGGACCTGGCTTCTGACTCCTCCGCACATGGCCCGTCTTCATCCAGGCATTCTCAGGACAGTGTCCCGGGCATGGAGTGGGCAACCTCTGACCTCCCAGCCCCCGGACCACCGCTCTGGTGTCACCTTGTGGGTGGGGAAAGGGGCAGGGTCTCTGGTTTTGAATTCACAGCTCAAAGTCCGCTCTAACCCAGGGTTGGAGAGCAGAAGGGCAGGGGGGCGTGGAGGGGCCGTGTGTAGAGGAGCAGCCTGGGGCACGGCGTCCACCCGCCTGCTCCTTCCAGAGGGTCTCAGAGAGCGGGTGATGCCCCCTGCGTCATCAGCTCACTGTCAGCACCTGAGAGGGAGGAAGCAGGGGAAGCGGGTTCCTGGGAGGTGGAGCTGAGGGAGTAGCCCCTTGGTCAGGCTGCTGCAGAGGCCTGGGTGAGACCCGGCAGTGGCTGAGGCCTGTGCTGGGGCAGCTGGGCCCCGAGAGCCACGTCCAGCAGGAATGTGTTCCGGCCCCCAGGGAGGGCGCCTGGGAGGGCTATAAATAGACGCTGTGCCTGTCATTCCACAGGGGCCATGACTTCCGGTCGGCCCCCCGTCTCCCACGCTGGCCAGCCCTCCTGGGTGCTGCAAGTATTTTATTCAAAAGGCCAAAACCAGTTGTCCTCCTCTCTCTCTGGAGAAGCTGGCCCGCCACCGGTCTGTCCAGAGGGTGACCTGGCATGTGGGTTGTGGGTACCCAGCCTCCAGTGGGGTCTTGAGGGCCGGACAAAACATTCTGCCCCTTTCGTGGTTCCTTCTGTGGACACCCCTGGGGTGGTAAAGGTGGAAATGGAACTGTGGCCAGAAACTCCATCCACGGGGAGCCCGGGCTTCCCCAGCTCTGGCTGGAGTCCAAGGGTGGTCTTCCAGGGAGCCCTCTGGCCGGTCTTGGCCACAGTGACGCACCCGTGGAGCCCGGCCTCCCGGGGCTGTACCTGGCTCTAGCAGTCTCTCTGTCTTCCTCAAAAGCCTGCCCCAAGTAGCCACAGCCGCCAAGGGGTTCAGCACATTTTCTTGAGAAAACTTAAAAGTGAGGAAATTTCTCAGCCAACAGGGACAGTCTGTGTCCCGGGCACTGTCCAGCACTGTCTGTTGGGCAGTGAAGGATTCTGGGCCCTGGTGGAGGGAGTATGGCCCCGAGCAAGACGGGGCAGGTTGGAAGGGCTGGGGCAGGGTTGGGGTGGTTTCCGGAAGAGCTGGGGACCCAGCAGAGGAGGTTGGAGAAGGGAGAATGGAGCCTGGGGGTGGGGTGGGGGGCGGGTGGGCAAGGCTTGGCCGCTCTAGTGGGGCTGGAGCTTGGAGTGCAGGGTGGAGAGGTGAGAGCAGAGGAGAGGCGAGGCCTCAACTGCCAAGGTAACGACTCTGGATGTTATTCCCTGGCCAGTGGGAGCCACCCAGGGTGGGAGCGTGGGCGGACTGGGGGGACTGTGGAGGATGGGGTGAGATGAACCCCAGGGAGGCTGGTGAGCTGGGCTGAGCAGGTCAGGGGAGGAGACTCTGAGTCCCAGCCCAGGGTGAGCTGCTCCCAGGGAACAGCATGGCCTCCACCATCAACCTGAGATGCTGCCCATGGTCCCAGAGAGAGTTGGCTTTAAAAGGTGCTGCCCTGCCATCTCTGGAAGCCCAGACAGCTCTGCCCTGTGCAGCTGCAGTCCCTGGGGCCTCCTAAAGCAGGCCGGGGCAGGGGTGAGACAGGGGACCCTGTTACGTTCCCAAGCCAGTCTGGTGGCCTTTTAGGGAAGTTTGGCTGAGGCCCGATGCTCATGGGTTCCCTGTGATTTATGAGGGATGTGTCCTGGGGAGAACTGTGGATCCTGGGTCGACCCCAGGGGGTTGGAGGGACCCTCTTGCCCCGCCCCCCGGCTTTCCCCAGGTGTAGCTGAGCAGCTGTCAGGCAGAGGCCTGTGGACTGGGCTGAGGGCGGGGGAGGCCTGGAAAAGCTGAGTGGGGACAGACTTGGGAGGGTCCAGGATCGGGGCAGGTTTGTGCTGTATTCTGAGGCCGGTGGGGGACCATCACAGGGGCTGATGGGCTGCCTTTGTAGCGTGATGCCAGGGGCAGGAGGGTGATGGTGAGGTTGGACGGAGGTGGGTTCCCGAGAGCCCTGGAGGCCTCGGAACTGCGGAGAGAGATGGGCTGGAGAGACGTGGCTGGTGAGGTGAGCAGGTGCACCGGGCTCTCGCTGGTTTTGGCAGGGGAGGAGTCAAGGATGTCATGGTGCCCAGATTTCACCGTGCTGGGTTGTGGTTCTTAAAAACACTGAAAACAAGACGAGATGTTGCATCAGGATGGGTTGGGGGGTGGGTGGAACTCATGGAGGACAGGAGGCTGGGCATCACTCAGGGGAATGCGTTCGGGCAGCTGCTGGAGGGGTGTGTGGGGCCGCGGCCCCGGAGAGGCAGGGGGGCTGGGGGCGACCGAGTGCCGCTCTGGGAGCGCCAGGCTGCCACCGGGCAGGTGGAGGATGTGTGTTCTCATCGCACATCCTAACACTCTCCGGTTTCCGTTCCAGAAGAAAAGGACCGGAAGTGAGTGCCAGGAGCGGAGTGCTGTCGCCAGCCTGTACCTCAGACCGATGGCGCCCAAGCCTTCGCCCCGCTGCCCACCCTGCCACCACGCTGGCCAGCTTGCTCGCTGAGCCCCACTGCGGCTGGAACGGCCACCCCCGTCCTGTCCCCAGGGTTGCTTTCCCCTCTTCCATCTGCCCCTGGGCTCTGTACTTCGTGTCTCTGACACTCTCCTGGGAAGTTTGCGCCTGCGGCTCTGGCCTGGGAGGGGCCTGCCAAGAAGCCAGAGCTGGGAGCCCCTCTGGAGATGCAAAGCCTCGCACCCCCAAATCCACCAGCACATTCTGGAGCCTGCTCCCCTTTGCTTTGAGACTGGGCATTTCCTTGGTGACAGGCATCTCTGTACTTGAAAGAGGACTCCTGGAGGTCACTTACTCCCGCTGTGACCCCTCGCTTAGTGCCTTGCCTGGGACCTGGTCAGCTGGGGTGGACAGGGGAACATCTGGGCCCAGCTGTGCACAGCAAGGGCAGGCAGCCCCCCCACCCTCACTCTGCTTCCACAAAGTCGGCTCATGAGGGCTTAAGCCTGTTTCTGTTTATATGTGCAGGGACTTGAAGGGTCAGAGAGAGAGACAGAGTAAGGGAAGGGAGGCTCAGCACGGAGCCCCTCTCCTGGGCGCCAGCCGGCCCGCCTGCCTCTGCTTGGCTCCCTCCTGGCCTCAGGCTCTCTCTGTCCTAACCGAACGGCGCCTGCCCTCTCAGTGCCGTCTGCTCTGCCAAGCAGGGGCCAGCTTTGCCCTCGATGCGCCCGGCAGCTGAACCCCCAGATGCCCTTGGGTCCCTGACAGCTGTGCCCTTCCACTCCGACCCGTGCTCGGCCCGCCTGGGGTCGGCACTGCTGGGTGGCTCCGAGTCCCT